TGTTTATTTCCATTTGTGAGTTTGCGTCTCATTATTTTCATACTCTTATTTTCCTCAATGGTTTTGATGATTTTCTCATCTTTGTATTTTCTTAAGTCTTTTCTGATTTCTCTTGATACTTCCTTGTTCATTATATTTATATCGTCGTTACTAGTATCGTCGTTATCTCAGTATTCTTCTTTGTTCCATTTTTTTCTGTGTTTCCAGACTAATTTTTTCTTCTTTCACACTTTTTGGGCAGCATTTCTTTTGAGCTTCTGTTATTGCTTGTACGATTATGTCCTTTAGAATGTTAATATCATTTGTTGATGATTTTTCTTGAAGGAATTTACCGATATGATCTTCAAAATTTTGTTCGTTGTTTGGATGTGTCCATCTGTTTATTTGCTTCTTTTTTATCATATTGTGTCGTTCATAGTTGGTATTTAACACAATGGTGGCTCTCACCATACGATGGTCGCTTGATTTCGCAAATTTATTTAGCACTGTCACATCAATATTATTATGGAGAGAATTAATATATTATAATAAAATAGGTAAAGAGGTATCCGGTCGTCGGATAGTTAAATTAAATTGATTGTGAGTAAGTCTGATTTATTATTTCTTTACCTATTTGAAATGGACTCACACAAGCAACAAATTCATGATTTCATTATAATAAAAATTGGTCAAGTTGTCTGCTAGTTCCTGTAAAACATACCAGTACATCATCTACGTATCTTCACCAATATAAAAACTGTTTAAATACGGGATGTTTTGAAATCTTTGCTAGATGATCCATAAATATCTGGTAGCAATGAGGATTATCCATTATAAGTTCTGCACTGTTATTTGTAAGTATATCATCGAGCAAAAAGACAAAAGAGGGAATGTAAAGGTAGTGGGGGCAAAAATATTGTTAGACAGGAAGTGCTATCTTGAGAGGACACATTAAACAAGGAAAGAGAATCTTTTCTTGTTTAAAAAATCAAATTTAGTTGGGTTATGTTATTGTTTGTCCCAACTGTCACATTAAAGTTTTTTAACAATTGTGTCACATTTTAGACTGTTATTGTTAATGTTTAATTAAAACTTTCTCGTGTAAGACACATTCTGAAAACTATTTTATAGCTACTGTTAATAAGTGTCGGAAATTTTAAATTTGGCGCATTTTTTTGGTCTGCTTTTCATAACGATTAGATTCCCTATTTTGTCTTTTTGCTCGATGAAGTATTTATTAGATTACTAAATTCAAAGAAGTCCCGGTTTATGCAAATTTCAAGAAGATGTAAAATTTCAGATGTAATGGTTGGGTTTGTAATATTATGGTCGAATTTATCACTTATTGTAAAAGTCTGTCTGATTAAATTTAAATTTGATTCACTTTTAATACAATTGCTCCTTACGTAACGAAACGTTTATTTCATTTTTAGTAGAACTTTTCACAGTGTTAATTAATAAATTAATCAATAAATCATTGAATTTATTTTCGAAGTTAAAAAAATATTTAAATTAATGTTTTATTCTTTTTTAAGTGCTAGTGATTTTATCCCCTAAAAGACTGAATTTATTCGTTTTCTTGTACTGTAAACAGTTAATAGTAGTTTTGTTGTCATTACTGAAAACATATATTTACTAGCCATTATATGCCCAGATCTAAAAAATAATAAACTTAAAAACTATTACAACATTCAAAAAACATTTTTTTAAACACTCATTATGGCAATTTGACAGAAAGGTTTCCACAGAATGTTTTATTACAACTTAAACTACGAGAAAACGAATATTTTTAGTCTTTTACAGAATAAAGTCACTGGCAAGGAAAAAAGAATAAAACATTAATTTAAATATTTTTCAACTTCGTAAATAAATTCAATTTAACTTGATTAATTTTGAAATACCCCTCATAAAAACAACAACAACATTCCTTGAAATACAGTAATAGTACATTGTTTACCGGGTAGGAAAAGCTTAACATTCCTGGAAGACTGTGAAGATTGCTACACAGAGTCCAGGAATGTGGCTTTTCCTACGAGGTATTTCCGCAAATCGTTTAAAATTCGACAGATATTGATTGATTTAAAAAAAAAACGCGATAATTTTATTCCAAATAAATGGTGCTTTGAAATTCCTAATAAAATTACTTGGGTTACTATGGAAACGTATTGAGGTTGAATTGTCAAACTTGACGCTTATAAATTTAATTGCTGGTGTTCTCGAAAGTAAAATGATAAGTGATGATGAATTTTCTATTCCTGGGACTCCTCCAGAGCTGGTTGAGGCAGTGAATACTGCTTCATTAGAATTATTGCCAAAGAAATCAAGAGAAAAGTACGAAAATGCATACAGACGTTTTATGGATTATCGCATGAGTAAAAATACGAGTTCTTTCTCAGAAAATGTTGTAATGGCATACTTCCTAGACCTTTGTTTAAAGATGAAATCTTCAACATTATGGGCCAATTATTCAATGCTGAAGTCAACCCTTGCACTTAAACACAATGTAGATATATCTACATACTCAAAACTTCGTTCTTTATTGAAACGGCAAGCTCAAGGTTATAGGGCAATAAGATTTTAACGAAGGAAAAAATTGAAAAATTTATCCAGGAAGCTCCAGATAAAGAAAATTTAATGATTAAGGTAATTTACAAGGTTTTAATTTCTATTTAGATTATAGCTTTATTTATTTTTTAGGTGGCTGTAATATTTGGTATTTCTGGGGCCTGTAGAATGGATGAGTTAGTCCGAATGACTGTACACGATATAGAAGACTTAGAATCTAAGCTTTTAATCAGCATACCTGATTCGAAAACCAACAAACCAAGATCATTTGTAATTAATCAGATCTACTTGAATGTTTATCGAAAGTATGTTTCGTTAAAACCAGAAAATATGAACAGTAACCGATTTTTCTTTAAATATCAAAGCGGAAAGGGTTGTAGACAAGTGGTAGGAATTCATCAATTTAGAAAAATGCCCAAAATAATTGCTACTTATTTGAACTTGGTAAATCCGACAGAATATACTGGTCACTGCTTTCGTCGGTCTTCTGCAACAATATTGGTTGACTCTGGTGCCGACATAACTAGTTTAAAGAGGCATGGCGGATGGAAGTCATCAAACGTTGCTGAAGGATATATCAAAGAATCGCTTAACAATAAGGTTGAGGTGGCAAATAAAATTTTCACAGTACAAAATATTCAACAAAATGACACTTCCACCCTGCATGTTGTCCAAAATGTTTCTCATAGTTCTAAGAGTGTTCCTCCAATGTTCAATAATTGTACTAACTGTCAAATTACTGTAAATATTACAAATTGATCTTATAAATGTATTCAGCAATGACTTGATGTTTTCAAAATATAAATTAATTCCTTATAAGCAATGTGTTTTCTATCATTTATGTAGAACACTAACAACTGTACGGAAATATCATTTCCTTACAGTAAGGAAATGACATTTCCTTACAGTAAGGAAGTCCTGACTTTTTCTTCAAGAAATTTTGACAGGAATGTCAAAATTTCCTGGCGATTTTCGGAAAAAAATAATTTTAATAAAGTTTTAATCAAACAATAACATAACCTTAAAATATGAACATTAAGAGGAAATATCTTAATAATTTTATATTATTACCTCACAAATTCACGAACAACAAATAATACCAATCGCACAGAATGAATGTTCAAAACCAAAAGTCCTTATTTACTCTTCAAACAATTAAAAACCCAATATTTCCACCTTGTTAGGGGAGAAATACATACAAGTTAAAAAATTTTTGTAAAGTTTTTTAAAATCTCCACCCATTGTGGCGTCAGAGCCTTAGCCTCTGCTTAATTAATAACGGTGTCGTTGCAGATGCGATCACGGCTATTGTCGTTGCATTTGCGGTCATACAAAAATATGTTGATTTTATCGTTGCATGTGCGGTCATTACCTAATAAACAAATTATATTTTTACCTTTTTCTACTACTATCACATAAATAATTCTATAACCAAATTTTTGTAAGATTTAAATAATATTTACCACAGATATTGATAAGAGTAGAACATGCTAATAATTTTATTACGGCAAAAAGTAGTTTGATTTAAAAAAAGCTTCTTTTGAGAGTTTAGTGGGATATGTGCACTAATTAAAAAAAAATGAAAATAGTTGATTTAATAAACCTTGTCACATAAAATGTCACATAAAAGTGTCACATAAATAAAATATTGTTCTGAAGCTATTTCTTTATGGCATCTTATGCAATTTACTATTTTAATAGTAAATAAGCCACAATTTATGTTAAAAATGAAATTTATTGACTGTCATCCTCCCTTTACAGTTGTAGTGACGTTCTTTTACATATACCCAAGTTACAACATCTTCCTTATTCTTCCTATATTTTCAATACTGATATCCAGTGTGAATAGCAGAAGGTTTTCCCTTGGTGGTTTTAATCACTTCAAAATTATAGATCAGAATTATAGATTTTGGTTATTCCCCCCAACCTTTATAATTAGGCAAATAAAAACTTTCCAAAAATCCGTAATGAGGGGATTATTGTGGTTTAGTCATTACTGTTTTCATTACCTATTGTTCGAAATATAGATAGGCGGATTAAAATATTTCAATAGGGTCGACCGGGGCTGCTAATTTTCGAGTGGTTACTAATTTACGACCTTCTTAGATGTCTAGCTTTTAAGTAAAATCTGATCGCAAGCGCAACGTTACCTGCCAAAATATTTCGGATTGACCGCTTTTGCAACGAAAATTACCTTGACCGCATATGCAACGACCGCATCTGGACCTATTTCGTTAATTACATCATTAATAAGTAGCGATAACTATTTCTCAATTTTTTTTTGTTAAGGTTACTGCGCTTGATCATCAAAATCTATCCCTATCATTCGATTCACATAAGGTTACTCCATCCTTATTTTTGTCAATGCTTCGAAATGTATAACTTTTGGTAACCTTCAAATCACATAATTAATTTCTCATTTTTTTTTGTGGAAATAATTAAGTTTGTGTTTTTAGAAAAAGACCTTGGAATATCAGCTAGGCACAATTTTCATCGAAGAAGCCAGACAATTCCGCGAATGCCCTTTGCTTCAGATGATCCTGAGCGATTGTGGGAAAGCGGAACAGCAGCTTGCCCGAGAATATGCCGATCATGAGGTGAAAGTCGAAGATTTGGTATTCAAACCTTTGCAGAACGTCCTGGAGAATGATTTCCCGAATATTCTTAAGCACAAACATAACTTAAGGAAGTATTGTTTAGATAAGGATTCTGCAAGTAATCGATACCAGGTAAGTTATACAAATGCATAACAAGTCATACCATTAATGATTCGAATTCAACAAAATTATAGCGAATTATAGCGAACGACAGGTACTTTCGAACAATTGTAAGGTTGTTTTAAGTTTAGAGCTCTTTAATACTAAATTCTGGTATCCGGAACACCGTCAGTCCGGCCCCGATACTGAGCTTTATATCGGTCCTGACAAATTTATAATTTCAAGTAGTTAAAAATAAAAATGTAATTTAATTGTAATTATACTATTTACAACGTAAAGTTCAATGTGACAGTGCACTGAAAATCCTACAGTACGAACCTTTGAGTTCAAAACTGCATTATTAATAACATTCAGAATCAGAAACGTTTAAAGGCAAATAACTTATCGATTTCAATTTAACTTATCGAATATCAATAACAACTTTTTGCTGGTTCAAGTAATTTGGCTGCAGGTTCAATTTTGTTAAGCGGCCAGGTCCGGCTTCAGATCACCTTTTCCAATGTATGTAAATTTTCAGCGGGAAGATGGATGAACCAAATTTAGCTACTACTTCACTGAATGATCCCACTACGTCACATATATCTTACTCCCATGCATTAGGCAGTTTTAAACATTCTTCAAAAGATCAAGGTATAAAAGTTTTCGAATGTGTAAAAAAGCTGTTGGATCATAATACAACCCAATCATATTGTTTGTGCATCTACAATCCTAAACAACCGCATCTGCATCTATCTCTCGTCTAAATCTCTAGTCGACCAATTTCTTAGCTCCTACAATATATAAATATTTATGGTAACCAGATTGAAGTAAGAAAACTAATAACCCCTGCCCAGCGATTAATCATATCTAATATATATATATATATATATATATATATTTATATATATATATATATACTTCATCTAATTTAGATAAAGACTTACGTCATTATCTACGTCAGAGATCGAAGTTGACATAGTTGCCAAAGTATAAAAAAATCCTGACTCCATTTTAAATCAAATAAATTACATAATTATTGCAAAAGTATTACCATCTCTTTACAACGTAAATATTTAAATTCTTACGTGACATTTTTGAAATAAAACACACTAATTTTGTTCTAAAAAGAACAGATTTTATTAAATAGTTAAAAATATAAAACAAGAGATTTCACTTTAAAATTCAAAATAATGCAGTTCAAAAAGTGTCAACACCGGAACTGTCAAATAAGTGTTACCAATTTATGCCAAACTTTTACCTTCGTTCAAATACAGTTACAGTGTGTTCCGAACAAATGTTCTTGATAAAAACGCTTTATAATGCATTTATACAAATTAAATAAAACATATTATTGTGTATTTCTTTAAGTTAACATTAATAGAAATTTTTAAATATTATTTCTACGCGTATATAATAAAATATTTCTAGTGGCTGTAATGCCAGTGTACTCGGTAAAGTGATTCTAAAAAAGAACACACCTACATCCTAAATATTTTGTGTTGGTATCATGTGACGTCACAGGCTATGGCGCCGATGACGTGCATCGGCACACAAACAAAAAACAAATGAAAATATATATACTCCATTCCACGAATATACGACTGTTTTAAATTCGCTTTAAGGTCTCGACTTAAATGGTCCAATGTGCTGCATTGTACAATAGTAAATTCTCCCCATTTTTAAAATACTGTTATGGCAGATATAAACCTTAGATTTAAATATGAAGTTATGATATAAATATAGAATTGATAGTTTATATAATAGTTGTAATTCAGAATTTAAATTATATAATTACTATCATTGAGTTTAGTTTGGTGTTTTAATTAAGTGATTTAAACGAAGTGTAACAATACTTAAGTGATTAAATATTTTACTTTATATAGTCGAATATTCAATTAGTATTAAAAAAACAAAAAAACTTACTTATTTTCTTATTCACCTAATCTCCTAAAACTATTATCAACTTGGATGGTAAATTATAATAGGATTAACTGCTTCTTTAATTAAGTCTTCACATTTTTTTACACTTTCTCCCCAAATTTCAGGAGTGGCAATATCCAATGCTTGTTGCCATGTTTCCAAGACTGCCTCGTCACTGTAACCCTTGTATCCAATATGGTTATCATAATATGTTTTGCAGATCCCCCAAATATATTCAATTGGATTGAATTGGCAATGATAGGGTGGTAGTCTTAACACACGATGTCCAAAGCTATGTATAATTTCGTCTACTATATATATATATATATATATATATATATATATATATATATATATATATATATATATATATATATATATATGTTTGGTTGTGCATGACTTTTAGCTAACGTTAGTAATTGAGGCTTAAAACAGTATTGAGGAAATGTAATAGTTTTATTCGTTTACCATTCTTTTATTTTATCTACAGGCCAGATGTTTGTTGGTTGCTTATTTAAAATTTCCGAATGATACGCAGCATTATCCAGTACTATAACGGATGGTTCATGTAAACTTGGCAACAGTTTTTCTTTCAACCATTTAACAAACATCTCCGTATTCATATTGTCATGATAATCGGCTGATTTTGATTTTGATGAAAACACAAGATCTGCTCCCTCAATAAAACCATATTTTCCACCTGCATGTACTATAATATATCTCTTTCCCTCGTTATCGATGTGTTTTATGGATTTTATACTCTCGTACTGCCAAATTCGTTTAATACCGCCTTTAGCAAAAATCCATGTTTCGTCTAAATAAACGAAGAAAGAACATTCTTTTTTAAATTTGTTGTAATTTCTTAAAAATTCTATTCTTTTGTGAACGACACTAGCTCTTTCACACAAAGCCTTTCTATTGTCTTCCTTTTTGAACTTAAAGCCAATCTGTCTTAAAACTCTCCAGAGACTTGTTCTGGAAATTTCAAATATATTTCTGTCTTTTAATTTTTGTAGCACTGAATCTAAAGAAACATGTTCTTTCTTTTCGCGCATTTTATATATTGTCTCACGGATTTCAAATTTGCAACCTTCGGGAAGATCTATAGTCTTTGGTTGTCGGCGAGATTTATATTGTGCGATATTTTGTTCACTTTGTCCACTTTTTTTTTCCTTTTTGCAAAACCGACTTTAGTTTTGTTTCACTAATACAGAGTGCATCACACACACGTTTATGTACGGACTGAACAGGTCGCAAAGGGCCCCCGTTGGTTTTCTCAGCAGTAAAATAAGAAAGTGCATTAAACATAAACTTTTCTACATCTAAAACACGTCTCGGCATTTTTGGCTTCAATAAACAAATACACTACACTAAACTCTATCTTAACGGACACCTCTCTTCACCGGAAACCTCTATACGGACGGTTTTTAAAACTAAAATCAGTCGGCGATATATGAAACTGTATGTAAATTTTCGTCACTTTTTAATATCTGTAACAATTCGGTACTTTAACTATCAATAGCCGGTATATTATACCCGTTATAAAAAAACTTTCGGAACTTAAGAGTACATCCACTCAAACCAAACAAATATTTAAAACTAGCAAAGTGAACTATTATATAGATTCTATTTCTGATTTCTGAACCATCGTTCTGCCTATTTCTTTTCATTTATAATAAAAATAGTATATTTATTTTTATTACGGTTCTAGTACCTAATAAAATAATAAAATATAATATCAAAGAAACCCGGCACGCCTCTTTGCATTTATTTACAAATGTTTACATTTCAAATGTACTTTGTTTACATTTCACCGAAATCCAACCCAAATGTTTGATGAACACATTTTCGTAAAAATGAGCGTTTGCGTAAAAATTTTTGTTATTTTCGTATTAAATTTCACAATAAATCTTGCGTCTATTTGTACATCTATTATCTGAAATGATATTATTTCAGATGTAATACTAACAGTAGATGCTTTTTATTGGAATAATAATTAGACCAATTTACTTTCATACTTCTACTTGCACAGTAAAATATTCGTTGTCGCAATAATCCCAAACAGTCGTATATTCGTGGAATAACCTATAATACCTTGGGCTGATCACAAAGTAAAAATCAAAGGCTACATTTACAGAGCGTGGCAGATAAGTTGGGATCACACTGCCACCAAACTCAAACAATGCCTAGATCAAGTAGGCACCACACCCATCTTACCAAGTAATAGAAAAGACCAAATCATCAACCGACTTCGAATAGGACGTACTCTACTTACGCATAAACATATTTTCAACAAGGAAGCTGCTCCTATGTGTACCCAGGGCCATACTCAATTATCAGTGAAACATATAATTATCCAGTACACAAGAACGAAAGGATCGCAGATGCTCTGAGTGATAATGGGCTGACTTCAAATTTAACACTTTTATTAAATTTTCTCAAAACAACTAAACTACATACCAAATTGTAAAGTATTATAATAATATGTATCTTACTATCTGTGAATATGCCCCCGCTAACAACCCTTAGTGGTTGATGCGGATATATCTGTATAAATAACGAAAAATAATATCGTTTTTATTTGCAGGCTTCTGGCAAGGAAACGTTACGAGAAGACATGGAGGAGGCCGATACCAAAGTCGAGCAGAGTCGTGACGCATTGGCCGTTGAAATGTTTAACGTTTTAGCGAAAGAAAATGAAATTTCAGAATATATGTTACAATTGTTGAAAGTGCAGAGAAGTTACCATGAAAGTGCCCTTAAAAATTTACAAGAACTGATTCCCCATTTGGAGAAAAGAATAGGTAATTATCAATTAATCAATTTGTTTTGCAATTTTTGAGAATTACTTTGAATCGCATAATTGACAATGTTTTAATGTTTGAATTTATGTTTTCGCCATCGGTGGCCTTCATACTTTCATATATCGTGTATATAGAGGTATAACTCACCAAGTGACATTTTAGCTCAAAACCATGTTTGTATCAGTAAGTAACATTTAACATCTAAACTCTCGCGTGGTAAAACTCTCACTAGGTGCTACGTCCAATAATAAAGCAGTTATAGAATGGCAAAAAATATTCAGTGTACTTTGTTTACATTTCGTTGGGAGGTAAAAGTCAGGTTGCACTTAATGATTTGTACCTCTATGGCAATACATTTAACAGGAGGTTTTGCAGTTTGACAGCAGCGTACCTAATGAGAGTTTGAGGTTAGTTAGGTTTTAGTCTCTGTGGTTGTGTGCAGTTGTTATTAAAATTGTTAAAAGTATAATATGCTGTCATATTCTGATGTAAATATATGCTGTTTTTTTGTAAGTTTGTGATTACGCTTATTTTAATTTTAATAAATTATTAAACAATAGCCAAAATGAGAAAAACTTATGCAGACAAACTTTTGATTCATCAAAACCTTCTACAAGTTTTGAGGTATGTAATAGCAAGTGAAATAGTTTAAAATTACTTTAAATCAATTAAATTTTTATTTCAGAGATTTCCAAATCGTATTACACGAATGTTGCCAGTTCCAGAACTACTAGGATGGTCGAAAGTGTATTACATAAAGAAAATGAAGAATAATGACACTAACAAAAAATGTAAATATCTACTTCCTACTTCGTGTTCAAACGTTTTTTTTTTATAAGTTGTGTGTGTGTGTGTGGTTGGAATATTGACTGCGAAACCTATGGTTTCATTCGCCTAATCATGTTTGACTTTGATTCTTAACAATTATTAAAATAAAAGCTATTAATATTTAAAATTTACATTATTAATATTTTTAAAACAATATCACTACGTTAAAAATTCTACATTATACAATTGGTAAACTTACAAACATCATATTTTTTATTTATTTATTTATTTTTTTTTAATTTTGTAAACAATTTTCTAGTAGAAGGTTTCGTTTCGTATCCATGCATCCAGTGCCCAGTGGTTGTTTATCCAGTATTATCCAATTCCGCAAGCAGTGTTTTTTTTTTTTTTTTTTTTTTCATTTATATACAAGTTTTCATTTATATACATTTTTCTTTATAAATTATTGTTTCATATTCTTATTTTTAAACTGCTTATATATTGATACAGCAACTTATAAACTTCTAAATTGTTAGAAACTATTAACCCATAAAGGTTGATGGGTTTTACTAAAATTTTTATTTCCATTATGGTTTCCATAAAAACATTGGTCTTTATTCTATTTTTACTACAATTTAATATCATATGTTCTAGTGTACTTTTTTATAAGTTGTGTATGTAGTTACTGAATTTTGTATTTAATTTCCAGAATCAACAAGGGATAAAAAATTATTTATTGTTTACTGAAATTAATTCCAGAAGGGTACAAACCAAGCTCAATGAGTTATTTGGTCAATTCATAATCATCACAATAATCCAGCCCGATGTTGGGTCCACTGCTGGACATACACCTCCATAAAATTACTCCATTCGGTTATCATCATGCAGATACTAATTAACTTTTGTATTTCAGGTACCGAAAGAGGATGTTGTAATGGTAAGAGTTAAAAGACAACGAAGTACATTAAAAATCGTTCCTTATTCATCAAGCAGTGACAGTGATTTTTCTTCTGATGACATAAATATGGACCCCTGTTTCAGACCACTGAATTCACCTCTTTCTCCGACACCAGATATCTCCGATTTATCAGACTCCGCTGAAGCTACAGAAATGAATGCCAAAAATTGTACAAGAAGGCGAAAACGAAATGAGAAGAACTGGAAAGTAACCATTACTAAAGAGAAACGTTCCAAATGTTAGCCATATTATAACAAATTTAAACAATGCAATGCAAAGATGCTTTCAACGATTTTAAGAGTCAAATAGATTTTATAATAAAAAATGTTATACCAGTTAAACCAAAACGTTTAAAAAATAATGTTAACAACAAAACGGTTTCAAGATTGTACGTCCTTGAAAGTCCCTTGGGACGACACAGAGTATGTGCCAAGATTTTTGAGAGAACTCTTTGCATTTCTAATGGTCCCATAAACACGGCCTTACAAGGAACCAATTCAGCAGGTTGTTTTTTCAGTGGAGATAAAAGAGGTCACAAAATCCCTGAAAACGCTACTAATGAAGAGTCTATCCAATTGGTAAAAACACATATAGAGTCATTCCCTGCTGTAGAGTCTAATTATACAAGGGCCACCAGTCAAAGGCTGTATTTAGACTCTAAATTATCAATTAAAAAATTCTCTAAAAGATAATCTCTATCTCGGAAAGTCTAGCTGAAAATCAAAAGCCAGTCAGCCATTGGAAATACAGGCAAATTTTTGGCAACGACTATAATTTCTCTTTTTCTTTCCTAAAAAGGATCAATGTGCAGCATGCAGTATATATAACATGGCAGATGCAACAAAAAAACAAGATTTAGAACTAGAATATTCAATGCACATAATAAGGAAGAATTAATGCCAAGAACCAAAAAATACAAACAACAAGTTTTCTCAAAATGACAAAACATTTAAAACAGCAACATTCGACCTTTAAAGTGTACTGCAACTACCTCACTCCCCAGTATCTCCATTTTACTACCCTCAAAAATTATTAGTATACAATTTAACCATTTATGAGGGAGATGGTGAGCGTGGGAAAGTTAATGGAAAGCGTGGCAGCAACGAAATTGGATCTATTCTGTTAAAGTACATTACAAACTTACCCTCTACAGTTCTGAAAATATCATTGTTTTCAGACACTTGTGGAGGTCAAAATGGAAACTAGCAAGTGGCAGCTGCTCTTCTCTATGCAGTACATACTATGAATTTGGAATGCATAGAACAGAAATTTTTGGAGTCAGGACATAGTCGTATGGAGTGCGACTCTGCATTCAGCGATAGAGCAATCTTAAAAAACCGATCAGATTTTATTATGAACTATTGGCTGGAAATATTTAGGTTAGTACGGCAGGAAAGATTACAGAAGGGGGCGTATGCAGTACGATATCTTAAATATACAGATTTCTATGATCTAAATAATTTGGTACGAACAATATTAAAAAATAGAACGAAAGATGAAGACGGCTGCACAGTATGCTGGGTAAAAATTAAATGGTTCAAATTTGTAAAAGAACATGCCGATAATTTTTTTTTTAGGTATGACCATTCATTGCCGTATTAATTATTTCTTGTGGTCCAGGAAGGAGTATTCGGGATATTTCAGAAATAAGGTTAAAATCTCTCTATAACGATTTATTCCCAATTTCAACTTTGAAGAAACGAGATCTAGTCAAACTTTGTAACGAAAATCTCATACCAGATGAAGTTCATCGTTATTATAAAAATCTACCAACAAGTACCTCTTCAAATGACAACCTGCCAGAACCAAATTTTGATGAGGAATCAGAAGATTCAACATCAATTCATTCTTAAAATAAGTTTTTTTGTTATATTTTGTTTTGTTGTGTTCAATTTTACAGGAATTTATTATAATTTATAATAGTAGTACACGAAGTAATAACATTTTTCATCACTTCCTATCTAGTTACTTTATCCCTAAGTACCAATCAGGAATATGATAGTTTGAGGTAAAATCATTTAGCTTAATAATTTTAAAATTATTGAGTGCTAATCATTTCTTTTAAAACAGGATAGTAAAGTAACACCTAAAGGCGCGTACAGACCTACAAACGCTTGCGGTGAGCAGCCACGAATACACATACGTGTGCAAATGTGGACGGCGCTTTCGTAACCTCTCGCCGCATGCGTTGCTTCTAGCGAATGACTTGAGCTCACATTCTGCGAGCCAGAGTGGTGTCGGTTTTTCGCACACATCAAAGAAACATACGTGTGCGTTCGCTCTCAGTTTATACGGATAGCGTGGGGATTTATTGCATTTGCAAGAGACAAGTTCGGATGTATTGAGTTTTATTCATTTTATTGATTTATGTGTAAAATGGAGTGGTCAAATGAGCAATGTTTGCAATTAACAGATTTGTATGAAGAAAACACTATATTATGTTATCAGTAAACGTTTCTTAACAGGTATGTCGTTTTTCTTTATTACGGGGCCTATATCATTTAAAAGGCGTTCAAAGTCTTCTAATGACATACGTGTAAAATTTTGAAATTGTCCAGTATTAGGTTCTAACGCCAAATCTACTACTAAATCGGACTTCATTTGTAGGGTTCTTCTTTTAAATAAATGCGTCGTCCACCATCGCCTATTTTTTCTTTGTTTTTTCTTTTTTAATGAACTAATAACCACAAACGCGGCACTAACCATAAGCAGCTCCTCAGACATTTTTTCACGAATGCATGGAGCGCCTTGAGCGCGAATGGTTTGAGTACGCACGCATATGCGTGGCTTCTCACCACATGCGTGTGCTAGTCTGTACGCGCCTTAACCTTCATACATAATTATCGCTTCTGTCTAGATTCATAAATAAAATTATAAAACAAAAAACGAACAAAATGTTGAATTTTGTTGTACTTATTTTGCAGTTAGTGAGTTTTACCTCTATATAGACGATATGTTTTTATTGTTTTATAATATAATATCTATACATATATATGACAATATTTTACTTATCAATTATCAATCAATTATCATTATCAATTATATATAAATGACAATGTTCTGACATTGGATTGGTTCCAAAAGCCAACAGCATCGGGCAGGTATATGAATTACCTTTCAAACCACTCCACTCGTCAAAAATATAATACAGTATTGGGTATGAAAAACAGGGTATGTCCATTGTTGATGATAATTTGTTACAAAAAAATCTGGAGATATTATACAAAATTTTTCGAAACAACGGCTATCCTAAACATATTTTAAAAAAACTCATTTACATCAGTAATTTCTATGATGGTCCTGTCCTTGATTCTAACAATGAGTCAATCAAATATAAAAAACTCCCCTTTATCAATGGTCTAACTTATTCTGCCATATCCATATTTAAAGATATTTCCAATATTAATATAGCTAAATACAATACCATAAATAGCAAACAACTTTTTTCTAAAATTAAAGACCTAGTACCAAGGAGTAATGTGGTATATGAAATACCGTGTCTAGGATGTGAAAAAAGCTACATTGGCCATACATCGCAGTGGCTAAAACAACGTATCACACAACATAAAAGTGATTGCCGCTTAGGAAAAAAATACTTGTGCAGTAGTCGAGCACTATGAAAACACCGGTCATGTGTTAGACTACAACAATCCTCGTATTTTGGCACAGACTGAAAATTACAAAAGTAGGTTATTTTTGGAGATGTACCACATCAACAAAAATAAACAAACTTTAAATTATAATACAGGCACGGGGCAATTAAGCAACATATATTGTAATATATTGAACAAAATTTAAAACTACACTCACCTTAATGAATAATCATACTAACTAGCCTTAATGATTAATTAAAGAAATAATATTCCTCTAATGTTTTCTAAATTGTTAGTTTTTGCATTTTGAAATAACTTTTACTTGTTCCATCTTATTTATTGTTAACGAACGTACTCAAAGATATTTAAATTTTAACATGCATTTTATTGGATGTGTATATAAATCAGCAATAATGTTATTTTAATGTCAATTTTATTTATGTGTGAAATCTTTTAATTTCTGTAAGTATTGTAAAACTAAATGTACGTCAGTTTTTTTAAATGTTTGTTTTTCACAGTTACTCTCGATGAAGCTATTAAATAAATGGCGAAATATTGAGCTTTAGAAAAGCAAAGATTTTTATTTAATATAGACCACGTACCCGATATTTCCAACATACTTTATATATATATATATAATATTAGAATAAGAAATGAGCAAGTATATGACATAGAAGAAGTAGAAAGAACACTAGATAAAGATAGTTTTGTTTGTTCTTTTAGGTGATAGTCATGTAAGAAGAGTATTCGGTACGTCTCTAAGAGAACACCTTCGAATTACCAACAAACGTATAGCTTACCCCCTAGAAATCTGCATATCGGCCCTTACGGAATACGGCATGTCCGAGGAAGGATTGTTCCGGGTCGCCGCTAGCACATCAAAAGTGAAAAGACTGAAAGCCGCCATCGATTCGGGATGCTTCTCCGTTCTCATCCCGGAATACAGAGACGTTCATATTTTGTCGAGCTTGTTGAAGTTATATTTAAGAGAACTACCTGAACCCTTGTTAACCGATCATTTGCACAAAGAGTGGCTGGACGCCGTACAGGTAATCATCCATATTTACTCTAGCGATTTGCCTTCACAGTCCTTACTTAACAAACATTTTTCACAGGTTCTTATATGTTTTGGTCGGAGCTGTTCTAAATTCTCTTTTTGGATAAACTTTGTTCTATCCTTTTTATGATCCATTCTTACTTTATGAGCATACGATTAATGCCCCCCATTTAATTATTAGTTCCTGTTTAGTGTTTTATTTAATAATCTTATTTAGAATCCTATTCTAGTATCCTTTCTCCTCAAATGTTTTGTTTCTATTACGGTTAGTTATATTTGTATTTGTAATAATGTTATTTATAGGTTTGTTTGTAGAACAAATTGCAAACTGTTTTCAACTGAAAATTACTGCGCATATCTGTTCATCAAACCGTTGGGAACGGTTGGAAATTGGGCAGCAATACGAACAACGTTTTATATCACATCGGATGAATTCGTAATTCTGCCGAATGTTTGGGTATTTTACATGTGCTATTATTCTATTTTTTATAAGCTTTTTTATAGGATATCATTAAATAACTCTCAATAACTATCTCTAGTTGTCATTGTTTTTTCGAAAGGTAAAAATGGAAGATAACAACAATGAAGGTAACAATATTAAACGGAAACAATGTTAAATTCAATTTGATTTTGTAGAAATATTGGAGCAGTATTTGATTTTCAATAATGAAGAACCGAATGATGAATCAAAACTTATTTGGCCCAAAGAAAATACAAAAATATTACTGGATTCTTATAAAGTAATTAGAAACAAAAGTATGAACTATGCAAGTTAAAAATAAAAAAAAAATGTGGGAAGTGATTTGTTATGATATCAAAGCAAAGTATAGAATAAATGTAACACCTGGTAATTGCGAAAATAGATGAGAGTTTTATTAAGAAACTACAACAAATTTGTAGATGATAATAAGAGAACTGGAATGGCTCGTAAATATGCTGAAGAAATAAATGCATGAGATATTAGAACAAGATGTGCACAAAAGAAAATTAGTTCCCAGAAGACGAATCATAAAGACTAAAACTAGTGAGGCTTTAGAAAATATGAGACATGATAAAAAAATATTTCAAGACAAACGAATTAAGTTGGAAACAGATAAAACGCAAAAGCTGCTGAACATAGAAAGAGAAAAGTTGGAGATTTAAAAGACCAGAAATATTTTATTAAAAGAAAAAAGTGAATTATTAAAAAATCAAAATAAGCTTATGAAAGAAAGAAATGAGTTACTAAAAGCTGTTGTAACAGGGAACCAAACCATCGCTGTCCCAATTATTATTGAAGCAGAATGAAGTTTAGTTTAAATTAATTTTAAAAGACTAGAAGGGTGTGAAATTGTGTTATTTATAATGCATATGTTGTCTTTTATTTGAGTAATTACCAGATTTTAGCAGGAGGAACTTGCAAATAAACAAATTTTCATTTAATAACATTAATTTTATTATTAAGAATCAGTAGTTAATGAGTAAATTAATTGAACATGTTATAATTCATTACAAAGGTAGGTGGTTTGCAACGTTGTCCCTCATTTGCATTCCTATCATCTAATTCCTCAATATGATCCATAATGATGCCTGGTACTCCTTGTTCCAGTATATCGTTTTGAAATGGAAACTCATCATCAATAGCCAAATTATGTAAAACACAACAATCTCTTATAAAATGAACTGTATTTTCAAGTTTTAAATGATATAGTTGTCTGAATTTCTGTTTTAAAATCCCGATTTTTACATCTTCTTCGTCTAGCCATTCACGTCCACATCTGAACATAAGCCTCTTCAAGTCTTCCTTGAAGAAATTTACATAATTTGGTGTTATAATTATGTTGTCTCATATGTAAATGCCATCTGTCAAAAGTAATTTCCACACTTGTCCGGCAAATTCTCCCATAAAGGAGATGCACGAAATACTCTGCTATCATGGACAGAACCCGGAAAACCAACAAAAACATCTCTTATTTTTCTTCTGTGATCACAAACAACTTGTGAGTAAAAAAATATATTTGTATACATAAAAATTCAATGAAAATATAATACCTGTATAGAATAAAAAAATTTTCGGGTTAAATATGAATCCGCGTCCTCTGAAGGCTTGTCAATTTTTACATGTGTCCCGTCAATTGTGTGGAAACTGATTTTCTTTAAAGAAACTTTCAATTATAACTTTTTCTTTTCTTCATCATTTGGCCATTTTATAATCTTAATAGATAAATTACTTAAAAAATATGTCATTCGTTTAGCAATTTTATGTAGGCTGCTTAGGCTTTCATTAAATATGCATGCTACATCTCTATAAGAAGCCGTTTCGTGTCCACAAAACTACAAAAAGCCTATGAGGACATAGTCTGAAGTATCTAATTTTCAAACTCTCCAGCTTGTTTGAAGTAATACGGCGAATTTCTGTAACGAGTACCAATTTCAGAAGCAACGTGTCGATTCACACGAAAATGTTTTATAAATAATTCTTTACTATAATATAGTTGAACAGTGTCTTCCGAATAATTTTCGTTTTCAGTTCTTTAATTTCTATGAAACCAAAGTTGCAATTCTTTGTCACTGCTTGAAGTAAACGTTTCACCTTCTTCATGGTTTATTTCGCTTTCACTGGAATCTGACATTTTTAATAAATTGTTTTTCACAATTATAATTAATGATAATTATGATATATACCAAATAAATAAATCAAAAATAAGGTTATGTATGTTATATTCTGTGGTTAACGGCTATACGCATTTATGACATTTTGGATTTGCGCATGTCTCAAACTATAAATTCATGAAACAGTACGGAACTTTTCGGACCGTTGACAACCGCCAGTGGACTGCAAATTCTTTTACTACGAACACCAAATCATCGACTGCAAACCGTCCGAAACTTCACTACGAATACAAGATTTTATTTACGCATGCGTCTCATGATTGCCAACGGTTTCCTACCGCTTTACGAACAAACTTAATATTTTAGATGAAGCATACTAATGTTGCCCCACACCTGACGCCTAAAAAAATGTTGCCCTACACCTGACGCCTATTTTAATAGTATGACTTATTTCTTATCTGCATCCATCTGTTTTCTTTAGTCGTATATACTTTAATGTTGCTAGCTATAGTGTTCATGTGTCTTATCGATGTTGTTTTATTTGTCTCTGTACTTGTACATTAATACTATAAACGAAAAACACATTCCTAATCCCTAGGTAACGCAAACGTTTCACAAGTTTTTGTCACAGCTTTTATAAACACTCTGGATATTTTTCTGCTCTGTTCTTTGCTAACTTTTTAATTTTATTTTTTGTTTTTCTGTTTATTTTATCCAAGCATTCCACCATCCTATCTATAAAGTTTTTGCAGTTTTTTTTGTGTTAGTTTTCTCTGTAGGTGTTTTATTCCCATTACATTTAATGGCTTATGAGTTTGTAATAAAACATGTGAATGGCATATAATAAGGTTACCCCACACTGGTCTTCAATTTCAATGGTATGATAAAGAGAATAGATCTTTTCCCATATAAGACCACAATTTTCTGGGAATCTTTGCTGTATATAAAAAACTTTTTTTTCAAATCCGTGGTTTCACAAAAATGTGAATAGTTTTCATCTGTCTCATCTCATATTATGTATTCTTACGTTTTAGGTACCAGAAATTCACCGTTTAGAAGTAGTAAAAGACATCCTGACGAAACTTCCGCAGGAAAATCGAGACAATCTAGCGTACCTCTTCCAGTTCTTTTCGAAATTGGCCAAACACCCTGAGAACAAAATGACTGCATCGAACCTGGCCATAGTTCTCTCGCCGAATTTGCTCGGCAACAAGCACGAATTGGACGTAAATATTGGAAATTGCGTTACTGTTAATATTCTAGTCGAACTAATGATAAAAGAAAGCGACCATTTGTTCCCTGAAGATGTCAGTAAATATGTGAGCGTGATGGACATATTTCAGGAAGATGATACTTCCAGTAATTTTAAGGTAAGTCTCTTAAATTTCTACACTGTAAATCCAACTGTAAATTATATTATTTTTTCTTCTTCGGTATCCAGTTAAAAAACAAGACTTTAACAATAATTTGACACACTTGTCAATGCATCTTTTAGGAAAGGTTTCTTCTTCTTTCAGTGCCCTATCCGATAATCGATCGTTGGCGGTCATATTGACATTAAAAAATGACATTTTTTTTCCCGGCGACACTTGTAGGGCTTTGATCGGTAACTTCATTTACACTACTTTTGTAATTTTTATTAATATCACTTATAATGCTACCTAAAGTTAAAATCAAAGCTTAATATTCATAAAATAGTTGGAAGTTATCTATGATTTTCTTGGTTCTTGCTCACTAATTAACATTAAATAACATTGAATTTACTTTAGACCACATGGTCATTTGCTGTGCTAATTTTTATAAGTTCATATATGTTGTTAGTTACTTAACTGTTTATACAAAATCAGCGTATTATGTCCATTTACTTAGTTTCATTCACATTATTGTTAATAACATTGACTGCTACATGTCTTTTTAAGATGAACTGATGATGCTTTCAAAACTCGAAAGCGAAACGTCTTCAAAATAGATAAAGTAGCCTATCAACTTTGTCTTTTATTTCTCCACCTAGAGACCGATATAAGAACCCACCACTCGTCTGAGTTATCCTTATATATATATATATATATATATATATATATATATATATATATATATATATATATATATATATATATATATATATATATATATATATACTGTTTTATATGTAGATGTTATTTCAACCATTTGTTTGAAGTATTTTTTCTTGTTTTCTCAGAACCGAGAGTGAGAACTTCCGCTTCTCCGACATCACTTTTACAGCTAAATCCAAATTCCTCATCAGTTTTTTTGTTTCTGTTGCTGTTTTGCTTGCACTAATCTCGGAACGTACAGGCCGACAATCGTAGCGCACAAAACTAACGGATTTTTTATCCAATAAATGTTTATGCTGTGTTTCTTTTAGGCTAGCAATTCAAACTTGGATTTTTGTATGGATAGTCCAAGACCGAATCAAAGAAAGAAGAAATCTGCCCCTGTACCTCCAATTAACAACGCTAAAGTGGACAGCACGCCCAAGTTGGTGCCTTTATCGCCAAAGAATTTAGTAAAGTAAGTAAATATGTAATTGCTTCAATTTCTGTCGTGGTGCTACAGCTTTTTATGGTCTCAAACCGTGGCACTTCTTCCCAAACGAGTTTTGTATACAGTGTGTAAAAGCCAAATGGAATAAATTCATTATTTAGGTTACTGTACATATTTATAAAAAATCCCGAAACACGTCAAATTTAAATTGTAACTTGACATTCTTTAACGTGAAAATGTAACCCCTAACTTCAACCCCCTTAGAATGACAGGTACAACCCCCAATTTTTAAAATAGGAAGTATAGGCTTGTGATATATCGTTTGAAAGGTCTTTTCATTTTTCATTCAAAAATGTAGTCGCTTTCAAGCTTATTAAGATTAATTAAGATAAAATAAATTAAAATCATGTGGTTACCGAAATTCGCTACAATACAATCAAAAACTAAAATGTAATGCAAAACGTAATACAATATAGAACACGAAAAAGAACTATGAATGTTAATGAAGTAGATGTTCAAAATGTTCACCGCGAACATCTTGGGGCAACATCCTAATCTCCAATAAAACTGTCTTCTAACATTATTTAACATAACAGGCGTGATCGAACTAATCGCAAGCATTATTCATTCTTTTAAGACATTTAAATCAGAAGGTTTAGTTTTGTACACATGACTCTTCACATATCCCCATAAAAAGAAATCTAATAATGTAAGATCAGCTGATCGCGCTGGCCATTCAATCGATCCTCTCCTCCCTATCCACCGATTGGGAAATATTGTATCGAGGTACTGCCGGACATTAAGTTGGTAATGTGGTGCCATCCTGCTAAAACCATATCGTATTCGCTGTAACTTGAGGGTTTTCTGGATCAGGATATAAATTTGCCAACGTTGGAATGACATCATTTTGAAGAAGTGCCAAATAATGGTTGCCATTCAAGTTGTCCTGAATGAAAAAGGGAGCAATGATATTGATTCCTGCAATCCCTGCCCAAACATTAACCTTTTGAGGGTATTGAGTGTGTTCTTCTCTCATCCAGTGAGGATTTTCCGTGGCCCAGTAGCGGCAATTTTGCCAATTAGCATGACCGTTAAGTGAAAAAGTACACTCATCAGAAAACATAACGTCTTTTAATTGGATAATATTGTTATCCAACATGTCCATCATTTGCTCACAAAAAAAGTTCTATCAAAATCGCCTTCCATGAGCTCCTGAGTAGGTATCATCTTATAGGGATGCAATTTATTTCCTTTGAATATGGTTACTATCGATGTATGGCTAGAATTGAATGTAGTGGATGCCTGTCTACTCGATGTATGTGGATTTTCCTGAACCTCAAGCAACACATCTAATTTGAGTTCATCACTCAGTGCATTGGCAGCTGCTTTTTTTATCTGCCTTACATGACCAAACTCGCGAAACTGCTTCTCTATTTTACTTATTGTTCCTTGGGATATAGGCGGTAAATTAGGAAATTTCTCATGAAATAGGCGAGTTACTTCCTGTTGTGTTCTGGTGTTATCTCCGTAACGAATCATTTGTAAAACTGTTATTTTATGCATTTCCGTTAATCTAACCATTTTTCAGATTGGAATTGAACGAACTTTTTACTTAAATTAAAATACTGACAACTTAAATAAAACAATTTACTAATGCGTGTTAAAATAACGTTGCCACGGAAATTCTTTAAAGTTTTTAATGGTTACCATCTAAAAACCACATTGCTATGGTTTTTGTTCACTTTCTCATTATCAAGTTCTAAACGGGAAATAAGTTTTGAGTACATTTTAGCGAATTTCGGTAACCACATGATTTTAATTTATTTTATCTTAATTAATCTTAATAAACTTGAAAGCGACAACATTTTTGAATGGAGAATGAAAAGACCTTTCAAACGATATATCACAAGTCTTTACTTCCTATTTTGAAAATTGGGGGTTGTACCTGTCATTCCAAGGGGGTTGAAAGTAGGGGTTGCATTTTCACGTTAAGGAATGTCAAGTTATAATTTAAATTTTTCAGGATTTTTTATAAATATGTGCAGTAACCTAAATAATGAATTTATTCCATTTGGCTTTTACACACTGTATAATGGCGACTGATGAATTTTGAAATGTTTTGGAGTATCTGATAGATAACGATTTCCAAACTTCGAATCTTTTTTCTGTATCAATTCTTCTGTGTGTCCTTATCGTCTTTCGGAAAAACTTTTCGCTGCTAGTTTTTGTTGCATTTCCCTTTGTGGTAGATGTCTTCCTCTTTTATACTTCATATAATTTATGATCTGTAGATAATCAAAAGCAATGTTCTAATTCTTTTGAGATACTCTAAAAGTTTTGGCTTTTGTTTCAGTTTTAAATGATTTTTTTACAACCCTAACCTTGAGAATATGAGTCGTTTGTAAAAACTGGTATTACACCTTCAATTTTTATTTTATTTTATTTTATATAATTTTTTCAAAACACCGGCGAGTGTTTTTTTTTAGTTTGGAAACAAAAAGAAATCGCACAGAGCCAAATCAATAGAATACGGTGGATGGAGCAACAATTCGTAGCCCAATTCAACGAATTTCGCCATAGCAACGGCGCTGGTATGAGCCGATGCGTTGTCATGGTGAAAGACCCAAAAGGGGTCGTTTTTCTGCAATCCGGCGTCGAATCGGTTCAATAGTTATCGGCATAGTACAGCCCTGTGACCGTTTTGCACTTCTCCAAATGATGGCCATCATTTTTCCGACCGATAAGACAGTCTTCACCTACGAAACGACGCAGAAACTTCTTCGGATTATGTTTAAATATCGTCAAACACTGCTCTGAATTCTTCTCAGCAACATGAGCAAACGCGGCACCCATCGCGCTGATAGCTTTATTATTCCCAAAATTTCATGCAGGATACGACATACGCGGTCTTTTGAGTCTCAGCAACATTGCTCACCTTCAGTCGCCGGTCTGCCAATACGGGATCGTAGATTTTTGTCACGTTATCCTCCGTGGTAGCCATTTTCGGAGCACAGTGCCGACGCGCGTGAAAAACCAATGTGCAATCACGTTGAAACTCTGATTGAAACTTGTTCTGGTTGAAACTTTGATTCAACTGAAATTTTGACGACATTAGCCGTCTACGAGAATTTTTACACGATAGATTTTTCTGAGATAATGGCCCCATCGGTCGGTCAGGCTAACTACTTATCGGACAGCCTACTTATTGAGGTTCGAAAGGAGCTCAGATTGTCTCAACAAAAGATATAAGGGTATTCATCATATTTACTACATTAAACAAGAATTTCTCTCCTTAATCACTTTGTTATAGTCTTATATATATATATATATATATATATATATATATATATATATATATATATATATATATATATATATATATTTCTTTATTTATATCATTCTTCTACTTAAGATTGTAGACATAACAGCATGTTTTCATTGCAATCCTGCTCTAAATATGTATAACCAAATAATAATACAAATTATAGTTTTAGACAACAACACTTCCTAACTTTTAAACTTTATGAGCTTTTTGTTAAAAGTAAACATCATTACTTTGCATAACGTACATGTGTATATCTTCATTTATCGCCAAAATGATCGTAAAATATAGGTTGAAAGTTCTCAAAATTATATATCAATTAATTATTTTTCAAACCAACAATTAATCTAGATGCCATTGAGATCAAAAAACCACCCCGATATTCATAACAAAAAAGATATGTGCACAGATTACATTCAACACATCGATCACGTTATATCTTTATTTATTTAGCATTTTAGCATTGTCGGTACTTAAACAAGCATACCAACCATCCAATCGCGCTGGACATACAAAGGCGGGCTTCGTTGAACGTAGGTTGGGATATCTTATAAAATTTTTAATTGCGTCATTTACTTCATATTGTAATTAAATTGAGTAGAAAAATATATTAGTCAGTTATTAGTCGAACCAAAAGTCTAGAACCAGAAGAATTAATCAACATTTTTTATTATTTCATAGAGCAATTATGGCTAATAAATAGTATACAGTCCTTCGGCGGACGTCCACCGCTCCCACTCTGACTTCATATTCCACAAACACAAAATAACGGCCATAGATGTCAAATATAAACTGTCATGTGCAAATTCTTTCTTTTCTATTTATTAATCTTACATATTTTTTTCTTATCCCTTCCTATGTGGAAACCATCAGTCATCATCAATGTAAATGAAATTTGATGCTTTATTTTCACTTCGGACTCTCTATCTGACTCGTCTAAATAACTCATTAAAGCAAAGCGAATTTTAGGCGCGTCCTATATATTGAACATACTGACAACAAAACTTGTTTATTAAAGGCCTTTTATTATTTTTCTGGCGTTTAGATATTTCCCATACATCACACACGCCCATTAAAAAAAGGCTGAATAATCGATTTTTTGCTGTAGAACCGAAGAAAGTCAGCCAGTACACATTTCCCAGTCCCAAACAAATGCGCCTCCTCCGATGCAAAATCCCAAACCAAAATTGGAAGAAATTCCACATCGGCCGTCAGTACAAACCAAGGAAGTTCCACAAAACAAAATAATAGTACACCCCAGTACCTTGCCGAGGCCGAGCGATTCGCATAAAAAACTGGCGAATACGAAAGACGGGGTTAATCAGACCATACAGAAATCGGATAGAGGTACGATGACTGAAGGCGTGAACAATAAACAAGCTGCAATTGTTGATCCGAAATATACTTCCAGCATCTATCATAAGGTAAATTAAAATTTTATATTTACGTATTGTCACAGTTCTGTTAATGTTATAATATAATTTGCTCTATTTTGTGCTTTTTGCCGATATTTTAGTTTTAGTGACTTTTTAGTTATTTTTAATGGCTCAACAGCAAATCAACAGGTAGCGAATATGTAGAAGATGAACAATAACAATTTTACTTAAACACACCGGAATTTTATTTGGTTTTCTGTCGTTTATGCGTTTACATGTCAATTTAACGAACAGCTTGATGATATTGTTATATGTATTTCAAATAAGTGAAACTTCAAGAATCGTTCTAACAAATACCCTGGATTTAAAATTTGTTTTGGTGCATCTGCCGTCCTGTATCGACAAAACTTTAGTTTGGTTACTTACAATATATGGCATTGATTTACTGTATTAAAGCATTCAGAACCTCCTATCCGTTGCGATTTGCAACGTTAGTTTGGTTATCATCCAATAGATGGCGGTGTCTGCTTTGGGAAACGAACTCTTCACTCGAGAAATGAGAAATTGAAAGTATTAACTAATGTAGAACAGTTCTGAAATAACTATGTGTTTAAATAAAAAGGAATCAAGTAAATTTCAAATCAAACTATGGAATTTTAAAAGGAATTTGTTTAATACAGAAAGTTGTTTATTATAAGCGACCAAATGGACCAATTTTACAAAAGGTTCACATGTTTCACTCACACGTCTGTTTTATAAAAGGAAGTAAAGTACTCTTTACTTTCTTTGTAGATTTATTCTGAACATGTTGCTCTTGGAATTCTATAGTAATCATATCTGCGACTAGATGGCGTTACCAGCCAGAAATCGTTTGAACTATATTATACCAAACCAAAAAATCATGATCACCAACCTTCGAAAGAAGATGGCAGTTTAATAAGAAAGAATAACAGCAGAGCTTGGAAATGTATATAAATAAGACAAGATAATTAAACAAAAGAAGAAAAATACTTTTAGTTGATTTTATTATAATCTGAATGGCGCAAAAGATTAAATTTCGAATTATACCTATATCTCTTTAATGAACCAGATGTCATAACGTTCATTAAAACACAGCGGCATAAATGGGCCGGACACACAATTCGAATGCCTGACCACATGATTGCTAAAAAGCCAACGACAGGAAGACCTATAGGAAGAGGAAGCAGAAGCCTACCGCGAAAGGAGGTTAGATGGAGTTGAGACCGGCTTAGGGATAGTAGAGATCAGAAGATGGCAACACGTTGCCAGAAACCGAACAGAATAGTGACTATTCTTAGAGCAGGCCAGGATTATCGAGCCAAAGAATGAGGATGAGGATGATTAGCCCATCACCAGGTCCATGATACAAGGTTAACTATTAAAATGGGAGAAAATAATGCTACAATTGGTGTAAGTTGTTAAAGTATAAAGTAATACTAAGCCTATAATAACACAAATTTGTCACAAAGGGAGGCATGAATATTAAGCTCAGCGGTTCCAGTTCCATTCCAATTGTACTATTGTTCCAGTTCCATAAACAAGGTTGACATTCCATAAGCAAGGGATCTACCGGAAATGCCTGTTTAATGAAATAATTCCTTTGTATAGAATTTTACACATATAACAATAACACCACGCTGAGCTGAATATTAATAAGCTGAGCTGAATATTAAGCTGAATATTAATAGGCTCTTAGATTGTTAGACTATATATAACGATTTAAACCATGTACCATTATGTAAGTATATTTGCAATACGCTTATATTATATCAAATGTGGTTCAATATAATCTTAGTATTTGCGTCATTTGCGGTAGTAGAAGGGAAGATAGAAGGCCAAAGACCAAGAGAGAGAGAGAGAGATCTTAACACGATGAGCAGACCAAATTAAGACTCTGGTGAAACAAATCCTACATGAAGCCGTCCATATGACACAGGATCGCAGCCAATGAAGACAGCAAGCTAATAATATTTAGATTGTCGCCACGCCCTGGTAAGGGCTCAAGGAATTAGGAAAAGGAGGTTTTGTATTATTCATACTTTAACAAAAATTGTGGCATTGTTTTCTCTCCTTTTTTAGTGATGATAATTTTCCATGCTGATTCTAACGGTATTACCGTGATAATTTATCATCATTGTCACTAGCTCTACAACCGTAACTTTATTTATGCTCGAGATATGTCTGAATGACCCCAGCCACGGTCCGACAGGCTATACTTTAACGCAGTAAGACAGCTTTGACAGAACTTACAGTTGTTCCACTCCACTTAGCCTTGGTACAAGAGCTCTGTGTGTATTAAATAAAAGACATATAGGTTATTAACAAAAGGGTATATACCAGGTTTGTCCAATAACCATGTGTAGAACAGACCAGTTCCCGAGAGGAAAGTGGCATTCGACGCGGTTCTAATCTACTGCATTAGATGTTAAATACACTGACCGGCAAAAAAAGTAGCCACCCTATAAATTTCCGAAAATAAAAATTCTTTGGAAGTTTTATGCACTGTTTCATATTGTATACTCAACATCTTTTATTTTTAAAACAAAAAATGGCCATTACTGCTTGAGTCATTAGCATAATTTATTATTATTATTAAGAAAATAGTGTAATATCGAAACGAATTACCAACAATAACAGTGACCAGTGAACTTGAACAAAATTGTCTGATATCGGGTATTATGCCATTAAACATCAATAACCGCTTTCATACGATTTGGAAGTGGAAGGAATAAATTTTGAATAAATACTTGAGGTATACGTTCATATTCTTCACACAGCATGTTTTGAATTTCTGCAAGATTTTCTGGCTGGCCTAATTGACTTCTAACCCTACGACGAAGTTCATCCCAAAGATGTTCGATGTAATTCAGATCAGGAATTCAGGCTGGACATTTTAGATTATTAATTCATACTTCTTCTTCCTCCAAGTAATTTGTCACGATTCTTGCAGTATATGGCCGTGCATTATCATGCATAAAGACCAAATTGTCCCCAATAAATGAACCATATGAAACTACTGCGTCTGCCAAAACATCCGCTATATACCGGTGAACATTCAAAGCACCATTGATGAAAATAAGTTCAGTTAGAGCTTCAAATGAGATTCCAGCCCAAACCATGACATTATTACCGCCAAGCTTTCTTCTCTGAGACGTACAAGCTTGGGCATATCTTTTATTTCTACGTCTCCAAACCCACTGTCGACCATCGAAAGAGTTCAAACAGGACCGCGATTCATCAGTAAAGAGAATTCAGCTCCAATTCTGTATATCCCACTGTTGATATTGTCAAGCCAAAATTAATCGATTCCTACAGTGTCTTTCTTGTAATTCGGGAATAGACTATCTAGTATATTCCCGAATTACAAGAGTCTACCTCCTGTAGACGGTTTCTTGCAGCAATTGCAGTGGAATGGCGATTTCTTAAAAGTTCTCAAAAGATCACAGATCAGATCACAATAAAACGATCATCTCTTTGCGAGGTAACTGTTCTACGACCGGAACCAGGTCGACGTGAGTATGTACCAGTCTCTGTAAAGCGATGGAAAGATCCAAACTGTAGTTCTCGGAATACATTAACTGTCGGATACATCAACTTGACTTCTTCCGTCTTGTAAAAATGCAATAATTTAAGCAACATCTACTGTAGATAACACCATATCTTAATTATTCGCTTAATCGAAATGCACGTTTCTTCTTCTTCATGTGCCTTGTCCGTTCCGAACGTTGGCAATCAACAAGGCTATTCTGACTTTGTTTACGGCAGATCTGAATAGTTCAGCAGATGATAATCCGAACCATTGCCGCAAGTTTTAGAGCCACGAGTGTGTTCTCCTCCCTGGACCCCTTCTGCTGTCTATTTTCCCTTGAACGATCAGCTGTAGTACTCTATATTTATTATGTCTCATAACGTGACCCAAGTATTCCAACTTTCTTTTCTTTATACTTATGCCTACCTCTCTCTTTACCTATCCGGCGTAGTACCTCTTCGTTGGTCACGTGCTCAGTCCAGGATATACGTAATATACGTCGATAAGCCCACATGTTGCGGTCATTGTCCACGCCTCCATTCCATATAACAAAACCGGGAATACATAACATTTCAGAAGTCGAATTTTGAGATGTAGGGTGAGGCGTTTAGATGTGAAAATTTGCTTCTTGCTAGTGAACGCTGCTCTTGCCTTTTCTACTCTTACACGCATTTCCTTCGCTTGATCCCAATTTGAGTTAACTGTTGTTCCCAAGTAGATGTACGAATCCACGTGTTCAATTCTTTCATTGTCTAATATCAGTTGCTGTGATGGTTGTTGGGTTTTGCTTACTAACAACCATTTGGTTTTTGTGATATTTAGACTGAGTCCGTATTGTGCACTTGTTTTTTGTATCTTACTCATTAGGCAACTCAGTTCCTCATTTGGATGCACGTTTCGAAAGCTAAATTACTGTTTAATTAAATGTTTTCATTAAAACTTAAAATAGGAGATGATGAAAAAGATCCAGAGTTAGAAATTAGAAACACAAATACATGCAATGAATATACCAAAAGAGACATCGAGAACAGAACGCAGCAGGGAAAAAAAGCGGTTAACATTCTAAACTCTCTACTATGGTCTAAAGATATTAGACAAGAAACGAAATTGGCAGATCATGAAAAAAAAAATAGAAAAAGAATAGAAGTAGTAGAAATGGATTTTCTAAGGAGAGCGTGTGGTGTATCCAAAAAAGATCATATCAGGAATGAAGATATTAGAAGGAGGACAAATACTGTATATTCCAGTGTAGACAGAATTGAAATGAGATAACTAGTGTGGTATGGTCACGTGAAGCGAATGAATGAAGATAGATGGCCAAAGAAAGCGTTAAATTACATACCACAATAAAGAAGAAAAAGGGGAAGGCCTTCAGTTGTCTGGGAAACAACAACATAAACGTCAAAACTTAAAAACAAGCATACAGACATGATCGCAATAAATATTTAAATTGAGACGCAATATGAAACAGTGCATAAAACATTCAAGGAATGTTTATTTTCGAAAATTTATAGGGTGGCCACTTTTTTGCCGTTCAATGTATAAAAAATATATACGATGAGCACCTGGAAGTTTAAAATTTAGTCATGTTCACATTATCATCCTTTATATTTTATTGATCGTACTAGTGGATATTTTGATTTGCATCGTTGTTTATTATTTTTTGTTCTTAGCTTGCTTTTGCTTTTCAATGCATTTTGAATGTTTTATCATTTCTTAAAAACGTCTATTAAATGTTTTGAATTCATCTCAAATATTTGTAAAACTATTTTTTAACTATGATTGTTAAATAGCCTGTTAGGGTGCAGAAAATAGAAGTGGTTGGTAATTATACTTCCAGTATTTACTATAAGGTTAGTAGATAAACGTAGTAGTATCATCGAATTTCTTGTCTTTTTCGGAGTGTTGCTTTAAACTAAAATTTGGAATAGAAATAACTGCTTACTAATATTTTATAGTATTGAAAATGTTGTATGGCATGTCCACGCCTTTTTAGTGAAAACTGAAATACCACATAGCGTTGTAAATTGTGTGTGGATACCTCTAATTTTCTACAATATGCTAACGTTAATCAACATTAAATTTTATTTAATCAATTTTTAAGTGTACAACGTGAGGCAAATGTATGGAATGGTCATATTATTTTAAAGGTGGCTAAAAAGCTGCCGTTTAGGACGTTTTCATCTTTCTTGGCGTGTGCGTGTAAAAACACTTGCAATAAGTTATTTCATCTGTCTTTCCTTGTCTAAGCTCGATTCGTTTACCTCCTTCAGTGGCAGCTATCTGTATTCGTAAAGAGGCCGAACTTATCACCGACACCGTATCGGCCAAACGCATCGGTGTTATTGCTACAATACTGGGAGACGTGAGTGGTCTCTTCATTCCCTTCTCATCGCACTTTACCATGACAAACGTGACTTGCACAATTGAATTACACATCATCTGTATATCAGAAAGAGACGAATATTAAAAATTCCGTAGTAGCTTATTTCAGGCACACGCCAAGAACGATGAAACCGAGTTTAGCTCATTTTATTCACAGCTAATATCATTTTAATGTATTGTAGGTAGGTCATTTGGGCATATTATTATTGATTTCTTGAGGGTTTGCTTAAATTGATAACATTTTATTGTGTATATTCTTGGTTTATGAGATTCTTTCAAAGTAACACTGCTCTACAATTTTTTTATATTCTCTTTACTTGCTACCTACTAATTTTTGGCTGAAAAAAGGATATGATATGGAAATTATTTTATTAGCTATAGTTTATGTTATATAATAAACTACTAGGAGTCCATTTGAATTGCCTATAATGAGAGCTATGTTCCAAAACTTCTAAATTAATGATAAAATGTTTGAGAGATTACTAGAATTGAAGAGAATTATTTATTGGATTCGTTTTGTATGTAAAGATTCCAAAGAATCTTTACATACAAAACAGCAGTAACCCTACTAGTATAGCTCCATTCCAACGACCTTTACACCTTTTTTCGATTACAGAAATGTCCTGATGGAATTTTTCTTCATATTCGTGACTCACATCTTCACAACTAGGTGGAAAAGTCGAGGTGGGAATAGAGAAAGTGGATTTTAAATTCATATTGTGATATTCGCAAATATGAATCATTTGACTACTGTGCCAACTTCCAAAAAGTAAATTTCTTCAAAACTGGAAACGTGTGTTGCTAAAAATCAACATGAAATTTTCTTTTAATCGGTTCCAACAAGCAAAAATATATCGGAATTATCTGTTTTAGGTCCCGCAACAATTACATTATTGGACAGTGTAATACTTATAAATTGTTTTCATTGCTTATATACACATTACGGTTGAATATGCTGGATGCACATACGCAATTTTCTTAAATTGTAACTCATTTCTAATATTCTTGTTTCTGTATTAGGTGAACCCAACTGTGATACCCGATAATAAACCAGATGACATTGAAGAAGTTCAAATTAGACGAAAAGACCTTAGTCAAAAGCCGGAAATCCCAGCTCGCCCTTCATCCCTGAGAACATCAGCCCAATGTTCGGTCTACAACGTTGCCAACAAACAACAACCTGCTTTCATCAACATACAGGGTAAACAGGAATTCTACCAACCCGGTCATGACAACAAGATAGCCGACAAGGAGAGGTTCTTGGGCCACAAACCGGAAAACAGAGACTCAAACCACAACAGTGAAAACGAAAGAACGATCTCGGAGAACTCTAGAAATAGTCTAGAGAGCCAGGGCAGTTTAATGGTGAAATCAGTCGATAGTTTAGGTGAAAATTGTGATACGAAAAACGCTAATCAAAACGTGCAGAAATCTAGTCATAATAGAGCTAGGTCAGACGGAGGGATGATCGATTTGAACAAGGGAATCGCAGTAGGCGCACAGGGTAGAAATTTAAGCAAACCGACGCAACCTCCACCTCCTCCGCCCGATTTGATAGGGTAGGAGAACGTCAAGAGGCGAAGAAAGTTTTAAGTTTTTGATATAACTCTCATGCTTCCACGTTCAGTAAGTGACATATGATGCAATAATTGTTTTTTAGAGTGTTAAGTTTGACAACCAATTGTTTTATTCAACATTTTCAGTTACTTTTCTATAATGTATTGTCACGACATATTTTTTAAACAAAGACACAAAGAGGATTTTTAGATGAACGATCTTGTCTTGCAGTTCTTTGCAAAATCTTTCATATTTTAGTATGTCAGATGTGCTGGTCAGATATTACATGCATTTATAACTTGTTTATATACATACCACATTTATACCTCCTTTAATCTTAAGATAGACTGTGGAGCGAATACTTAATTTTACAATTTTTCGTTTATTCCCCTGAAGATATTCCCGCAAAAAAAAGATAGTTTTGGAGTAGTAAAAATCTATAACAAATGAACCAGCAGCAGTAATCTATCCGATAATGACGCTGCTTTATCTAATGTCACATAAAATTTATTAGTATTGCAATTTTATACTATTGAATGCATATTACAAACAATAGTCTACTATAAAATAGTTTTTGTTGAACAACAAATTTAAATGATTTTGGAATCAATAGCAGCAAAACCATAAAAACAATTTCGGCAGCTTCGGACTTGTCCACAGGTCAATTCTCAACTTGTAGACTATCATAGATTTGCACGTGCGCATATTGCCACGCTTCTTATTTATGCTTAGGAATCTGTTAGTGTTATGTGGAGACCATTTGGTTTGAGTTTTCAGGTATTTCGAATAAGGTAGCTGAAATATTGTTGATGTTAAATCAAATTTAATGATCTAAAGGGCTTTAAAGGAAAAAAATGGTTATCAGTGGATGGTTTTTTAATTTGCTTTTGAGTGTCAAGCTTTTGCACTCTTAATTTTATTGCATATAGCAATAGCGAATTCTGTTGAAATTTACTTACACAGATTTTAAAGGGGCCCTAAAAACATTTCGAAACATCTGGCCATAACAGATGATTGCTATAACTAGTCACTAAAATAACATTAAATTTGTTGTGTTTGCATAAACATGATCCCCTTTTTTATTTTTAAATATAATATAGTGCTTCAGGTATCAAGATCTTGTAGGTTAACTTTTCGTTAACAAGTGCATTGTGTGTACTATCAGCTCAAAAGATTCGGTGTCATTATAAGAAGAACAGCAGAATATCTTTAAAAGATGTGCAACGGTTTGAATTATATGAGTTGTAATTTTTTGAGTGTCATATGCTCCAACAAAAACAAATCGTTTACCAAAACTGGCCGTGATCTGAGAATAACCGTTGTTGAAGTTCTTAGCTTATTTTCTAAAATTTAATTTAGTTTCCCTTACTAAGTTTAAGTATTAATTTGCTGTTGTTGTTATTTCCTCCCTCATTTCCTTTTTTTTGTTCACCTTGATAGTCCCTGTCTTTCTATTGCATCAAAATATTTTTTTACAACTTCTTAAATTATACCGCGCATCGTCACTGTGGTTCATTCAACGTTACAGTATTAGTACGCGTTCTTTGAGTAACACTTATCATCCAAAGTAAGAAGAAATTAAAGCCTTAGTTCAGCAAAGGCATAATTTAAAAAAAAAGTACAAAAATGCAAGACATTTGTAACTCGCTATATATTACTGCTATACAGTAACTGCTGTACAGTAATGTCCAATAATTTACATCACCTCTTTGTTGCACGTTTAAGGTGGTCTGTCTTTGGTGGGTATGGATTTTTTCCTTCGTATTTTAACAATTCTCTCAATTCTTCTACTGCTAGAGAACTATTTAATGTCTGTCGTTTTCTTCATATATTATCTTAACGTTCCTACGCGTTTTATGCATTATTTTCTTTTTGACAGCCGAAGTCTTAGATGCCACCTTGTGGCGTTCCACTAGGTCACTGTGGCGTCACTGGTTCATAACAGCACACTATTTTTCTAAGTTTTTTTACTGCTAGTTTCAGACGTTCCACACATTGTCTTACTTTTTTATTGTTCGTTTACTTTGGAATTTAAAGAACTTCCGTCTGGCAATATTGATATTGCCATGGGACCTATCAGTAAGTTTTTACAGAAATATGTAGCTAAATCTTATCAAACATTTTATCCATATCAATACTAATTCGGTCAAATGACGTCATTAAATAAGGCAGGACAAGGAAGGAGTAGTTGATGACAGTTGACGTTGATGTTTATCAGAAGTATTCAAATTATCTAGACTTATTCTGGTCTTTTGACAGATCTACATTTTTCTGGATCTATTGTAGACCCTTCATTTGTCAGCTGTTAAGTTTTTCTCAAGAATAACATCATAATGCTATTGGGATAGGCCATTTTCTCACTGTATACTTATTTTGCTGTCGCAGTAACGTGGAAACTTACAGAACATTAATCTGTAAATCACTCTATCAGGAAAATCTAAATGACATATATGAAGAACTGAAAATGTTGAATATTTTCTAAAAAATGGGATTGTATTCGTACTTGTTGCAATCACAAACTAACACTGAAATGTAAACACTTCCTTAATAAAATTGAGTATGGTGCATATGTTGTTATTCTCTCCAAAATTTATTTGATCTAGAAAAAGTTGTTGATATCGATAAATATTGCTAATTTATATGTGATTGAAAATAAATTTTGGAAAGGTTATAGAAAATTTTAAATGCATGGGAATTTATAAATTTTTTAAAAAGAATAAATTAGTATTTTTGTTTTTTGTTAATTACTGCTTCGCTGGTGGTCATACAACGGATGAAGCCGTATGATAAACATAAAAAGATCAGGGCAAAGGGAATTGCCTTGAAAAAAGGTTTTATAAAAATGGGATGTCTAAAACTAACCAAAGAGCAAAAATAAAAAACGTGGACACGCTTCAATTGGATGGAAGCTGTAATATGAGTACTTTTTTAGCACACCGTGGTATATCTGCATACTTGACATTTATGTAATTTTAACTTGACAGAGCGTAGCTGGTGTATTTGTCAGCTCACTTCTATATGAAAAGAGGAATACAAATGAATAAATAATATGAGTATGTGCAATATTTGAAATATCTCTTGAAATGTTCTACACTGAGCTTAAGGTGGTTATGTAAGTATGTTGCCTTCAAAAGTGTGTCAGTACACTGTATCAATTAAACATTATAATTTACGATTTAACGTTAAACGATGACAAAATGTTCAACTTCATAATGCAAAGTGTCATAAATGAAATGAAAAATTCTCGATCTATAGATTGTCTCAAAATGACTAGTCTGTACAGGGTAAATGCACAACATCGATGCCATACTTCTTTACAAACTTGTATTAAAATAAACGTCACTTCTTACTACTTAGCCTAATTCATCTTTTCTGTTGAGAGTAGCTTAAGTACTAATGTCCACTAACGACCCTACCTGGCTTCCTTCTGTCAGTGGTTCTCAAACATACATAATATTTGCTACTACAAACTTGGGTTAAATTAAAATAAAATAGAAATTAAGAAATGCCTTTTATTTATGTCACACAAGCAGTTTGTTTTTAATTCTATACTATGTGCTAGCGACACAAACCATTTGTTTATAGATTAAAATAAAATCGAATAAAATAAAACTAAAATATAAAGAAACATTTTATTTATGTATTGTTCCGTTCAAAAGTTAAGGGAGGAAGGACTTTTAAAAACCGCACTGTATATGTTGGCAGTAACAAAACATAGAATATTCGTCATTGTATTTAAGTTCGTTCTAAGTAATCTTAATTGTAAACCATTATATTTAGTTCCTTTTTCTGTCAATCGCTATCACATTTAGTTTCTGCTTATCTATCATCATAATCATTATTATCGTCACTGTCATCACTATCTCCGTTATTTAAATTTATAATAATTGGTTCGATATCATCCAACAAATTGTCAATTTCCCACATTTTTTTTTCTGTTGCTATTACGTGGTTTACGTAGTTTTTCCATTTCTCTGGCGTTATGACCTGGTACGCTGCTGTAATTGAATTTCGCATGTCAGCTTCTTTAAAATTCGCGTTGCGTCCAGCTCTATACCGTTTCATTTCACTACAAACCATTTTGATGGGATTGAGTTCGCAGTGATAGGATGGGAGCCTCAGAATCTTCACATTGTACTTTTTGTCAATATCTTCTATTATGTATTTATATATTTTGCTTTGAAGGCCTTGACTCGTAACTCGCATTTTAGGTAGTCTTCTTTAAAAAATAGGTCCTTTGACAGGAGCATTCTTGAATACCTTTTTTTAGTATTGAACTGTTGGGAATTTGTTCTGACTTTCTGCTGTAATAGAAGGCATTGTCCATTACCACAACTGTATTTTCTGGAAAATTTAGCATTAAGTTATTTTCGAACCAATCTTCGAAGGTCGGTCCATCCATTTCGTCGTGGTAGTCCTGTCTCTGCCAAAACGTGAGCTCTGCTCCATCAATAAATCCACTGGTAGATCCTGCGATAAATAAAACGAACCATGCACCACGAGTTGTTGGAGCTTTTAATCCTGTTGTCAGACCCCGAACAAAAGCATCGCGATGAGATGTAATTGTTTTATCAACCCATTCTTTTTTCACACTGTGCCCGATATTTAGCCATGATTCATCCAAATACACTATGTTGTATCCTTCTGCACGGTATTTATGAATTGCGCGTAAATAACGATGACGCCACGAGGTGATTTCTGGTTTTTCAATCAAAATTGAATTTCTGCCACGTTTTATATACACAAAATCCATATCACTCAACAAGCGATGTAGCGTGACCCGTGAAAAGTTGGGCAAAGTTTCTTCGACATTTACAACAGCTAATATGGTATTTATTGTTGGTGGTATGTTGTCATGAAAAAAATTGATGAACTGACACCTTCATCGTACTTGTCGCCTACACCTACATCGCAAACACCACTCATTTCTGATACTTTCTTAATTACACTTGATGCAGAATCGTTGTTATCCTGATTAAGATGATAATTAATAATATTCATTATTA